GGGGGGGGGGGAGGGGCGTGGACCCTTGTCGGGGAGCTTGGATCCCTCGTCGAGTAAGTTCAATGGTTCTACAGCTCATCCCACAGTATGTCCCAGACGGCAAAGAACGATGTCAAATTGAGCGTTTTAGAAATAATTTAGTGCTTTCTTGACAAATTCATTAATTATAATCTCTCAGGTCTAAAATTGATGTTTTTAAAGTTTTGTTCAGGTTTATCATGTTTAACTGCACAAATTAAGTCAGTTATGAGGCTGTGAGTTGTATGAAGTTTCAATAAATCAATGAACAATTTCAACTTTTTTTTTTAAATTACAGATAGTTGTACCCACAAAACTATGGATACAGACATACCACATGGATTTTCACTAAGCCAACACACCATGAAACAACGCCAACCATCACTGGTTACCGATGTGTTGCGTGCTGTTGCCATTAAACATACGTGGGTATTAGTCAATTATGGAAGTATATAATAGTCCGCCATGGCTCAACTCAATCATGGCAAGATTTGGAATAGATATTCTACGATGTATTAACGTTATTAGGTAGTTTTCGCCGCACGACGTTAGCCTTAACTTTAACGTTAGTACTCAACTTGCAACGCGATGACTCCACCCATTTTGTAAATAAATTAAAATACGCATGTGCAAGCCCGTAACTAATGTCCGTCGAGCACGTAAAATCCTGAAATTAACGTACTCAGCAACGCAAGATGAATAAATTATGACGACATCCGTTAACGTTAACGTCGTGAAGCGAAAACTCCCCATTAAATATTGAGATCTGAAATAAATGTGAATGAATGAATTATTGATATTTCAGAACGGAAAGTTCCACCCACCTGCACCGTCATGCTGGCATGATGGAAAGAGCTGCACAAACAGGACTTAGGGGGCCTGCAGCACGAAGGATTAGCATACAACTCAGCGAACACAATTGTAAGTCAGTAGTGCGCATCTTCGATTATCAATTACACATCAATTATTTTCAGGGGCGGATCCAGAGATGTCCAAAAGGGGGGCCGAAAGGGAGGCCGAAATTTGGGCCGATCGAGACAACAATGTCCTAGGGGGTCCGGGGGCATGCCCCCGCGAAATTTTTGTGTTCTAGACGCCCGAAAATAACATTTGAGGCGTTCTGGGCTATCATTTTTTTTCTTTTTCTTTCTTTTTTCTTTTTTTACCTCCCAAAAGGGGGGGCCGGGGCCGGGCCGGCCCCCCCTAAATCCGCCCCTGATTTTGTACAGTATTCAGATGTAAAACTATATTTTTATTGGACGTCACGAGCAAACTGTTTTGTATACGATTGTTGATGTAATGGTAGATAGCAGTGGCAAATTTAAGTCGGATCGGCCCTAAATTGTTCAAAATTACATATGGAAAAAAATGGAGAAAAAAAAGTAAAATTATAATAAAATTTAGATCTGAGAGTTCCTTCTAGAGATGCCATAATCAACAATTTTCTTACTTCAACCCCACCATGGTTGGAGCTGAGGTGGTCTGACACTCTGTCTGTGAAAGTCACTCACTGGGCCCCTCTATTTCAGATTTTTGGATCTGCCACTCGAAAATTAACAGTTAAATGGAACCTCAAACTCAGAACTGAACCACCTTCAGAAAAAAAAAATCTGATTTGAAACTCCTACATTTAAACTGATTCAATTTGTATTGATCGCCGTTTTTTCATTTAAATAAGATGTATTGTCATTTCATCTGGAAACTCTTTAACGATTAAATAAAACTCTGAATTGCTCAATTAAGTCAAAAACTTCCAAATGTTCTTATCAAATAATTGTTTTAGTTGCTTTCCGAGTAATTTTGCTACGATAATCCATAGGAATATACAAAGAATTTAAGGAATATTTACTAAATAGAAATATTTTATTGTTCTAACAAATTTAAATATTAAATTTAACCGTATTCAAGTTTATTAGCAGAAAGTGTATAAAATTATCTTATATTTTATACCTTCATTGACGACAATACAATATTATTATTAGTTTAAACTAAAACAAATACCAATGTTCTTCTGACAAACAGTATGTCAACCGAGGGCAACGCACCACGTACTGGAACACACTGCAGGGACTGAACCTGATAGAAAGGAAAGTCTAATGTTAATGGCGGCCTCAAAACGTAAAGCGAATTTACGTCGCGGTTCCCTCTCTCTTAACCACGGTGCTCTGCGTGCGGGTGGCTCACAAATAAATATGGCTACAGACGATCTTCTGGCATCCGTTACCCGTCTCAACGTGCTTAAATTTGACGAAGATTCCCGCCATATGCACTTCAACACAAGCTCTAAAGTGGCAATGGCAGCTGGTGCTGGCAAGCGGTCGTCCGCCGAGTGCACCAGACGAAACTCGTGTGTCACTGAAGAAATGAAAGCACGAATGATGTTTCCAGGAGGAATGACGGCAGAGGAACGTGAAGAAATAGACAGATGGAAAGGAAAATGCGAACGAATGATATATTAAACCAAAAAATTTGATTTAAAATAATTACCGATTATTTTATTAATAGCTATTATTATTATTCATAATAATTGGATATATTTATAAATTGTAATGTTGTAATAGAATATTAAATTGTAACAGACTGGACCAACTTTTGTTTGTATTCCCATTTATTCATCTGAAATAGCAAAGAAAGTCACACAATACCTCGTTAAATCAACGTTCTGTTCTCGCTAACCTTAATTATACAGAATCGATAAAAAGAAATGTAAAACATAGTAAGACACTAAACAAGTACTGGTTTCTGTGTATAACACAGTACACAGTGTTTGGCAATAGAATCATAACAAACATCACAATAACAATCAAGAATATGTGGTTCAACCTCGTCTTGATTTCAGAGATCAGAAAAATACAAATAACAGGAAATTAAAACTGTACATTTATGATTATCACTAATATTTTAGAATTTAAAATATCAGTTGAAAACATATATATTTATGAAAATTCATATGAAGCGAGTTTCCACAAGTATGTATAGCCCTAGTGGGTTACTTTATCAAAGAAACAACCGATCATTTTTGTTAAATAATTAACAAATATTTTATAGAGGAAGAGGAAGAGTCAACTTGCTACTTAGTACATAAAATTTCACTAAAGTAAATTGAGATTTTTTTAGACAAACATTCAATAAAGACTTAATATAATTATATTAATATGTATAATTGAGTTTACTGAATTTAGAAATAGATATTAGAATATCAATTAAGAAAACTGAAATTAAATATAGATGTAATATGTCATTGCTAAAAAGTTATCAAAGTACTATTAATAAGTAATTTTGAAAATCACATACAATATTATTCAGAACACTGTTCTAATCAAATTATTGTAATTATTATAAACATTCTTTATACTTCTTCAAATATATAAAAATAACATTGTAAGAGTTCAACTATAATCAATATATTTAAAATATCTTGCTCATCAATTTTAAATAAACATATTTAGGTGGGGTTAAAATTGAACATACACAAGTTATTTTACTTAAGCCTGCACTCACAGCACCTGACGGTTGTCAGTTGACGCGATTCCTTGGAAAGAACATGTGACGATGTGCGTGCGACAGATTGTTTTTAATGACGCTCTGTTCAGACAGCCACCTATAATCAGCAGAAGGCATCATCTTGTCTTGTATTGACAGGGAGCACAGCTGGATTTGTTGGCTGACCGTTGTATGACGCCGTGAGAGTGCCCACATTTACAGGTATGTGAAGGACTTTTAGGACGGGTAATGTACTCAATTAGCATTACCAATGACAGTTGCTGAGAAGGGGGAATTAAATCACCCCACCCCTTTTTAAACCTCTTGAGGATTCAACTTCAGTATTGCATACTTGCAGATAATTGATTCAAAAGCTTGTGTATGTTCATTTTCTTTTGCATTTCCTAAGCTGTAGTACTCTCCACTGTGTTATGTTGAATCAAAGATACTTGAAACACAAGAGAGAACTCTCACATAGCAAAAGTGAAGCAGATACACCTCATATCTTTTACGCAGATCCAGACATATGCGGCGCCCTTCTGTTTTCAGTAATGGCAATTTACGTAAGTTCAGATCCAGACGTAAGCTGTGTCTCATTTAATGGGGAGCCGTGTACCACTGGATATAAACAAACTTACGTCAGTACTTTTTACCCACAATGCAATTCGGTGATGCAGTTTTTTCTGTGGAATCTAGAGAGTTCCATCTTGTGTTTCTAGTATCTTTGGTTGAATCTGTAAAGATTCTTTAACTTTTTTTAGTGGCAAATTGTTACAAAAAAAGGCATTATACAAATATTATGATTTAATAGTTAAGACACATTATAAGATAATCTTAGATGCAGATAGGGGGTGGAAGATTGGCACAAATTTGAATAAATCACAACTGCAAAGTAGTTATCAAAATTTATTGTATGTTGTACAACATGGGAGTTTATCTAATCGACTAGATCTTAAAATCTCTGGATGCAGTGATAAATCTAGTATACACTACATTAAAATAATGCCCCTCGAGTAATGGCTAAAAAATTGCACAAAAAAAAAAACATTACAAGATCAAAAAGTACTAGAGAAAGGCTTATTAAAACAGTAATTGATATGGATTTTATTGTACAGTATTACTGTAGTTATTCATATAAACCCCTCTCCTCCACAAAATCAGCCTTGTTCCACTAGACACAGAAATATTGAACTAACAACTCATTTTGTGATAGTCACAATTATGCTACTCTTTGTAATGTAACTAGCACCACTGATCTATGTGAATAGACAATAAAAAGTTATCCATTTCTTTACAACAGTAAAACATTAGAAAAATTAAGAATAAACAATATTTCATTCATGTATAAAAATTTGATTGTATTGTACCTTTCTTTAATACTTTTGTAAATCGCATATTATAATTTTATTAATACATTTGTGATGACATACGGTAATGATTTGATGATGATCACAGTAATTCCCTCAATGCCCACCCCCCCGCCACCCCAACTCGGACAGGCCTGGGTCCCAGTCATCCGACAACACAACAAAGTTGTTGGACCAAAAATAATAATTTGCCTATCAAAATAACGTTATTTTGATTGCCAACCCCAATACTGTGGTCTAAAAGCACAATTTGGGTCATACAATCCTGATTGAGCCTGTAGTCAGCAACTTGTTTCGTACCCCCTGTCGGACACCTTGTTGGCAAATTTCTGGAGCCACCACTGGATGATGATGATGATGAAGATGATTATGACGAATCTTGCTCCCACAAATATACACCTGGCAGCACGAGCATCTACTTCTAGTCTCACGCCTAGGTTGTATTATCTCATACATCATAAAAATTTTAATAAAGATAATATGTATAGGCCAATTATACACTAAAATTCATAAAAATGGAGTGAATTTGCCATTAAAATGCAAATATAGGCCATATAGCTATACTGACTGATGACTGTAATCGGTAGCAGTTCCACCATTAAAATTTTAAAATAGTTAACATAGAGGGCGCTAGATTTCGTGAATTTTTCATAGAGGGCGCTAAACACAAATTTAATTTTTTTTTGCCTCATAAATTAGATGCCAGCAAAGTTGGCAGGTATACAAATAAATAGCAAACACTGATGCAAATGGAGTGTCTGATCTTTGGGCTCACCCACTGGGCTGAAACCAAAGCTGAATGGCCATGCTTCAATGCATAATCAACGTACGTTCATAGATAGTGGTACATACACAAGATGCACTGGTAACCGTTTGTATGAGGTTTACACACATTGCCTTGCAATGACCAAAACTGTTTGACCTTATTGACTTGTATGCCAATATTACACTTGAATGGAATGTTAATATATCCTAGTAAAATTCAAAACTTGTCAGCTTATACATAAATCCAATAAGATGTTCTCAAAAGGCACCCTCTATATCCACCGCCAATGCTGGGGGTCTTCTTGGGGTTCCCCACACACGTCATGTCCATATTATTGCGCAAATTCTAATAGATTACGACAAAAAAATACTGTATGTAGATACAATTTTAATATTTATATATGTGCGAGAATCCCCAGATGGAAGCTCTTTGCTAGGCATCTGCAGCGGGGATAAATCACTGTAAATGGATCGGTGTATAGAAACCAAAAACAAGTACTTGTTTACCATGTTACATTGTTGATCAAAATAAAGACATTATTTTGTTAACCTGCAGAAGTTAAATTTCTAGGGTTTTGTAGCTAATGCCAAACAAGAAAGAGCTTGGTACCAACCTTGTTAGCAGCTTTTAGACATAGGTGAGCATAGATGACTAATATGTTACAACATACATAAACAAAAATTATAACAGTAACATACATACACAAGAGTTTTAACATACATAAACAAAAGTTACAACATACATAAACTAAAGCACAGTACATACATATACATTATTACAAATAGCTTTCTTCAAAAAATTTCCATCCTGTATTTAAGCAACAATAAAAAAACTGATATTCATTTTGTGCTTTTTATTTTATTTTTGTTTAAAATTATACCCTTTTTTTTTTTCTAAAGATATGTTCTGAATTTGTTTTTTGCGGTAACTTAATTTTTATAGACAAAGGAGTAAAGAAATTAGAATTGTAATGGAAGACGGCAAAGTACAATGAACAAAACAACCGCCTATAAGAGACTATCATTATTAATGGCAGTTTGCATAATAATAATAACAAGGATCTAACACCACCATTACTTTACGTACAAATGTCATAGTGAAGTGTACAATGCTTGCAAATGTTGTCACCTGTAACCTCACTTGATTTGTATCCTGTGTTCCTTGTCCAACACACCTGTAAATTATCTACCCATTCCAGGTGTTTGGTGACGTCATAACAACCGCTTCACTCTTCCTCGACCTCCGAGTAGGCTTCCTCAGCAAGCATATAGTACTTGTTAGCTAGGCGTCCTTTCATACTAGTCATTGCAGCTTCTGCTGCTTCATTAAACAAATCACCTAAAACAAAACAAAGAAAACAAAAAATAATTCTAGATTGAATGCTAGTTAAGAGAATTGTTGCTAAAATTTCTCAACCTGGTACAATAAAAACAATATTAATAGAAATACCGTATAAAACCTTGAATATAAGCCTAATAGGACCTCTCTTTAATTAGCAGAATAGAATAAAAAATCAAATAGAAACCCATGGGCTTCATTTCAAAATAACATTGTCTTCTTTTCAAGATAGTACAGTACATATCCTGTACATTGATTTTAAGGAAACTGAATAAATGCAAACAAAAAAATGCTTGGTTTATACAGTAGTTTAGGTGAATTAATGCCGGTTAATACACTCCATGATACAGATTGATGTTACAGTGGCCATATTTATTGTTCTATAGTAATAATTCCCAAAATTTACAGCATTCATTTTGAAAAGAAGCCCCCCCTCTTTACTTTGCAATAATAGCCTTAAAAAGAAGCCCATCTTGAATAGAAGAAGCCCATCCAAATTTCGCAAAAAAAATAATCCAAGAGCTTCTATTTGAGGTTTTACAGTAATAACAGCGGCAGACAGGGGCACACTTTTCACTTCCTGGCTTTTGGCTGTTTTCTCTTTCAAGCTAACTGTCAAACTCCCCAGGGCAGACATTCTGACGTGTTCACATCACTTCTTGACTCACGCAAGACTTGTGCAATATGCTAGAGCTCCTATGCTATCACTTCATAATTAGGATTTAAAAACAATCAATTTGGTTATATAGTTATTATGTATACACCTACTAAGCTATGAAATCCACTTTTAGTACCAATAGTACATACAGGATTATGCTCATACCGTAAGCCACAATCTCTTAACCACTCTGAAAATGCTCGATTTTATACAGTATACCATAGTTATTCCAAATTTTCTCAGAATTAACCAAGAATTATAAACCAAGACTGTATCACCACTCACCAGCTCGTGAAGGGTCTTTCTCCACTCCAAAACCACCCTCGCGGTATATTTCTGCTTCTCTTGCTAAAAGTTGGTACAAGGGTGTTTCGTTGACTGCGTCAAATCCTCCAGAATCATCTTCTTGCGGGGAATCGGTGATTGCCGAGTACCAATGCAGAGCCTCATCCCAATCCTTCTCTCTGTTGAAGATTCAAATTGAAAATCTTATTACAAAAAATATCCCAAAAACCAGCATTAGTGATCAAAAAGTTGAACTTGACTTTTTAATATATTCTTATACTCCATATTTTAAGCTGTAAAATGATGGGTCATTCACTGGAATCGACTTACTATTGCCAAAGTTAAAAGTAAAAGTATTACAGCATCTCCGTACTATACAATACTACCACATTCCTATGCTAATTACTCAGTTCAAGATTTAGTGACTGTATGGTGACTTTGAGATGGCAAGCCTCTAATATTGCCAAAGTAATTATCCTTGGACAATCTTTATTGTACTTAAAAATTTTTTTTTTTTTATGATTAAACAATAATATTTCATGTGGGTCATCACCATATTAACTATAGAATATTTAAATATAAATTTTGCTAAAAAAAACACAGTCTGGCTAACATAGAGTGATAGTTAATTATCAAAAGTAAAAGACAAAATTTTATTAAGAAGGGACTCCCAACTGTCAGGCCTCTTTAAGGAGACTTATAAAGACCTTGAGTCCAAAAAGATCAACTGTACACTCCCAAGCCTTGAAAAAAACTTTAATATGTAGAAAAAGAACCTAGAACCTTGGGAATAGAAGGCAAATACATTAACATAACTCATAGTACACTTGACTGATTGAAACTTTACCTTTGTGTTCCTAGGCCGTTGCCAGTATCGAATGCCCTGGCCATGTAAATCTGAGATGCCCTGTCGCGAGCGTCTGCTGCCTGCTCCATGAAGTCCAGTCCCTTATCTTGATTTGCAGGTGTGTCCTGTGTTATTATGAAGAAAACGCATGTGATAATCTTTATGGAAAATGTATTGTGCCTGCAACACACTGGAGATGTTTGTTTTCCTGGCTTTATTCTGTCAGGATGCTGTGAAACACAGATTACAGCCTAGTCTTTTGTAAAGCCTGATTTTCATGAAATCGCTACACGCTATTGTCAAGTCCTCTGGCGACGCTGATCGGTCAGTTGAATCAGGGAGCATTCGCGATTGCGTCGAGTACAACCACACAGTACAAGGATTGCAGAGTAAACGCTGCAGCGATTGTGTTGCGATTTTATAGAAACCAGGCTTAAGGCAATATGGTCGGGAAGAAATAGGAGGTGCAACAATGTACGGTTTTTTTCCCTTTCTTCACATCCAACACTCGCCACTTACAAGATGGAATGATGCTTTATAAACCAAGTCTCTTTTTGAGGCCTAGGGAGTGAAGTTGGCTTTAGTCATGAGGAAAAGTCCTACTGTGAAAACAATTGAACCCATGACCCTGGGATTAGAAGGCAAGCATCTTAACCACTAAGCTATTCAACTCCACTGTCATAAGTATCTAGGGGCCCAGGCCCAATTTTTTTCCTCAACAAAAAAACAATAGTTTTTATTGAAATGTGTAGAATAGTAATAATCCAATAATTAACCATTAATTAGTTTAAGGAATAGGAGTAGTTTAGTCGCATTGTTATTATTGTTATTATAATTATTTTTATTTTATTTTATTGTTATTATTTTATTGTTATTTGCTTTTTCTTCAGTTGGCCTATATTATTTCTCTGTAAAGCGCATAGGGGCAATGTGCAATATGTGCTATATAAATATAACATTATTATTATTATTAAACAGTGGATCCTGGACAAAAACCACAACAGATAAATATATCTAATATATAATAATAAAATAAATACAGTACATACACTAACTGTAAAATCTTCCAGAATATCATGAGGGAGTTGTAGATGTATTTTCGCAAGATTAATGATGGCTTCAAGCGAGCCACAGAGGGCAGCCTGTTCCAGGTGGTAGAGGGCAGCGTCCATGTTTCGTTCATTTTCACTCTCAGCGAATCGTCCAATCTCATGATAACGTGCCATATCCAAATGAATCTAAAAGAGCATTATGAGTTTGTATGTAAGTATTTTAACATCTCTGGAGCAAAATTCATACTTGCTAAACCATAGTAAAGGCCATACTGTACTAAGGATATGTAGCAAGCACACTGTAGCAACTACACTGGCCAGGGTATGTATAGTAAACAAATACCAAGTGGTAGGGGTCATCCTCCCTGGGTAAGCCCATAAACAATCAAACTACCCAGTTATATCATGGGTCATGAGACAGGAATGTAGGCTTTCCTCCTGTGTATTGTATTGCCGTGGATACACACACCATACATTCAAAAACAGCAGCAACTTATATAGTATTTTGTATCTTTTGAATATATTAGCATCTTGGACTATACTGAAATTATATTGCCATTCCACGCAGTGTACAGTGTGATAATTTATTACGTAACAAGTGATTCATTTATACTAAAGGTTTAAATTTTAAGGCCTTAGAAAAGTAAATATAGGCAGTCTATGTATTACTGCTTTGTAGGATATAAATTTAAAAATGTCCCCTTGTGAGCATTTCCCATGAAAAAGTTATGGGGAAGGCTTAAAGCATTGTGTAAGGCTTATAGTCTGAGAAACTATGACATTTTCTGAAACATAAATTATCAATTGCAAAATTGTCTTACCTTGCCTAAAATGGAGTCATCCGACTTTTTCATGTTTGCACGCATACGCAAGTGCATTTCCAAATTCACACAGGATGCACGCGCTTTCATGTTGCGTTTGAAATAAGCAGCTGCTTCTTCTTCCTGATTGGTCAAGAAAACAACAGCTTTTTGAAATTGCATTATGAATAATAATGATAATAAATATTATTAATAATAACAATAATAATAATAAAGTTACACACTTATATAGCACATAATGCTAAAAGCTGCTGTGTGCTTCATATAAAATATGCTACAAATTTGCCCTTTCACAGGCAAAAGAGTCAGAAAAAGCTAAGAAAGAAACCAAAAAAAGTTGCAAGCAAGTTCATGTTGCAAAAAAAAAAGAGAAGAAAAAGAAAAAAAAAACATTTTGAGTTTATTTTAAATGGCAATTGACTCTATAATTCTCATATACTGTCGAATATATGTTTCAGAAATGAGACGAAATAGCAAAGGCTCTGTCACCATGAGAACATGTTGATTTGCCAAGATTATGAAGGAGAGCTTGTGATGACAATCTAGGCCATCAAATCAGTTGCTGTCATGACACTGAAGTAATATAGGGATGTTCCATAGTATTAAAACTTTTTAAATAATATTTTGTCATAAATGTTCATTTTTGAAAGCAAAAAGCAAGATTTTGAAGTTAACTATACAGTTAATGTAGCTCTTTCTAAAAAAAATAAATAGGAGTGTTATGATCAAAATGGTTTGGTGTTTGCAATAAGTCTAGCTGCAGTCTTCTGTCCATATAAAGTACTAATTATAGAATTCAAGCCTAGAGGAGAAAAATGTGTAAATAAGTCTGAGCGTGGTTCTACTATCTAGATATTTTCGGATTGATCCAATTTTATGTAAACCATTGTGAGATGTGTGGCATATATTTCTGATTTCATGCTTAAAATTGTAATGTGGAGTACGGTAATTCTGACTTCCCTTTCGATGTCAAAGTTTTAAGTCCCCAGTTTGAAGTAAGTTCAGCAAGTTGGAATTTTTAAACTTATAATTAAGTGAATGTCATGTAGCCCATGAATATACAGTATATCATTGATGGATGCAGATAGCTTAAGCCCCTGTCCAGACAATCAAATTGTATTTGACAAAACCGTGTGACATGCCTAAATATGGTAATGATGACACAGTATCAAGACCATATATAGGCACATCATGCCTACATATGAGCATACAACAGTTTTTTTTGCCAAAGAAAATTTGATAAGCTGGAAAGAGCTTTTGTGAAGGCTGAGATTTTTTTCTGGCTGAACATTACTAGATAGCATTCTAATTCATGTACAAGAATTTCTACTTACTTTCTGCTTTCTCATTTCCTAACATAAAAACAAATAATAATAGCACTGTTGGCATTTATGAAGTGCTTTCCAATAATCATCTCAAATCATATCACATACATTAGGCAGTAACAATTTTACACAGTGTAGATCTTTCTCCGCTCTTTCCAGTGGAGTAGGCTTAGACCTACATGAACAATAAGCATCTCTAATCTGACTTAAACTTTAGGAGAGTTCTAGAGTTACAATTTAGATATATGTAGCATGATTGACTACGTAGTGGTAACATTTTCACATTTTTTCCAAGCTGGATAGATGAGAAATGCAAAATTGGCGCTTAACCAAATGGGGTTTACTGAAATTACAAAGTGAATTAAAAACTCTGATGGGGACATACGTTTTTCTCAAATATTTATTATCATTGTTAATTAACACAAGTGGAGGTGTATTTCCATACCAAAGTTACTTTCATGAGAAATAATCTTTGTATCTATTCATAATTAGGTCGGCTGATATTAAGGGGCCCTCTTTAATATATGAAGTATTGTGATGTTTTTATCTGCTGTCACAGGAATTGAACCCAAGACCCTGGTATTAGAAGGCAAGCATCTTTAACCAAACTATTCAACTCCTCTCCATGTTTGAACCAAGAACCATAGGATAGGAAGTCAAGCATCAGAGTACCAACTAACAGCCACTCTAGGTCGCACCAATGTTTATGAAGGATGTGTATAAATCAGGTACCTACCCGTGTCATGGAATCACCTTCAGAAGTTGTATGAACTCGATTCCTCGGTATGTTACCATGGTCTGCCTCGTCATTGTAATCAGCGCTTTCCTCGTCAGAGATCTCAGCAAGCGGAGACGGCATGCAAACCTCTTCTGGAGACGCCGGTGTAGCGAAGCAGATAGACGCACCGTATCTCAACGCCCGTCTCTTGTCAATAATTGGTCTGGAGTTGTTGAATCGGGTTGGGAGATCTCCTATGGAATCGGAACTTTCCGACACAGACCGGTTGCTGTCCGAAGATGTTCGTCTCTCAAATTTCATTTCCATATCCTCATTACTTTCTTCAGAGCATTCTGAAATATGACGTTCTCTAATTTCTCGCACGATGAACTTGGTCATATCGAGAGGAGTGATAGATTTACGAGCACGAGGGCGAAATACAGGTTCCTCTTCACCACTGCAGACTGTTGATGAATTTTTCTTTAAAACAAAAGTGTTTCATGGTAAGCTATTAGTTTTGTTGTTTTTGTAGATTACTACCGTATTAATAATACTATTATAATTCATTTTGTGTGGCTGTCAGAAAACCAATCTTCTTGGAGTACAAGCAAAGACCATAAAATATGTGGCCTAGAATTATGGAACCTTGATGACATCCAGGAGCTTTCTGAACCAGCTGCCAAAACAATAAAATACACAGAAACATCTTGCATATAAGTATAATGATACTGATCAGAAACTTTGAATTTGTTCTGAAGTTTTTGTAAACAGTATTTCATACACATTATTAGGTCAGACTTTTTTATTCCTTCTTTTGTGAACTTATTTTTTTAAGATTGTCAAAATGATTTTGCCAAAACCACCTGGATGGAGGAGAAAATAAAAATAAAATTTTATTAATGCATAGACAGTGTAGTAATGACATTAATAAATACTTTAAATTTATATAATTAAGGATTTTTATTTTAGAGATTTCAGGAGCAGAGGGCATAATAAAAATAAATATAAAATTTAAGTTTTTATGAAATTTTTTCAATTTTTAACTGGCCCAAAGATAACATTTTACTTCTATTCAAAATCACCCATCTTAGCATCCAGATTGTTTGCTAAACAAGGTACAAAAAGTCTTGCCTTACTATTGCCTGACAAAAAACTGTTGTATGCCCATATATAGTCATGATGTGCCTATATATGGTCATGATGTGATGTCATTATGACCATATTTAGGCATGTCGTATGTTTTTGTCAAATAAAATTTGATAGTCTGAACAGGTTTAAAGCTCTGTCCACACTATTCAAATTTTCTTTGACAAGAAACTGTTGTATGCCCATATATAGTCATGATGTGCCTATATATGGTCAGGATGTGATGTCATCAAGACCATATTTAGACATGTCACATACAATTTGACAGTCTAGACACTTTACCTGCAAATCAACGTATTTAGAGTGGTCAGCTACTTCTGAAGAGTGTATATCAAATGGTGTCATGTTCATAGTTTTGCAGATGGTGTTACAAGTATGGGTAAAGAAGAATAATGCCATGCCCTTCGTTCCCAGGTTTCCGTCGTTATATTCCGTGCCGTTAGATGTATGGATTTGCGGATCAGTCCAAAGATCCCCCACGCCTTCATAATATTAATGAAGAATAGAGATAATGATCATTTATTGTTTTATTTTGACAATTAAAATATGTTTCAATCATGAAAAAATGTATCGAGATTGAATTTTTATTACATACGCATTGACCTGGAAATTATAGCATATGCTTTAACATTAAATTATTATAATAGCACTGACCTGGGTATTATTGCAAAGAGACTCAATAGGGAGTCATTGTGAATTCACTGATCTGGAATTAATGGAAGTTTCTATTTGAATTATTGTGCCCATATAAAGGACAAGATACACTAGATACTGCATCGTTTGTTTAGGCCTACAGTCAGCATTACCTGTACTTGCTAAATTATTTTAGAATACAAAGTATCCCTTTCTTCTCCAGATCTAGAACACCAATGTAAATTAAGCTCTTAAAGCTATTTTTTTTACAAATTTATTATTTTGTTAATCTTTTAAATATATTTATTAAAAATTCGGAATTTGTTTTATTTCAATACTAAAACCAGTATTTTGTGCTTTATAAATATATAACCTTTGACCTTTAAATAACACTTACTACCACGAAATGTTCAATGTGGAAAATGTGACTTTTTCACTAAGTAAGATTGTGTTCATAGGCCATTAGGGACCTGTATAACCATCTTTAAGCTTCTATTTATTCTGCATGTTATTTTTACCTCACTGATTTTCTAACCCCGCTATACATTGTAAAATTAATATTCAATCAATTTAGAAAAACTCCACCCAGGGGACGAGAAATACCAAAGAACATAAATAATAACAACAGAAATAGAATACTAAAAATAATACAAACTAATAACACACATCCAGAATTTAGCATGGAGCAATGTAAAGTAAAATGTATTTTTCAATTGATATTTGTTATTTATATATTAATATTAATATTATTATAAAGCCAATTCTTTACACTGTCACAGATTACATCATTTGTACAATTATGGCTATTTATATTTGTACATTATTACATATGAAACATTCCTACTAAAGTTATTTTTTAATTATTAAAAACAGGAATTTGGCTTGTAATTAGTGAGTCAAAATGGAGCTTACTATACCTTGAATATCAACAATAATTAACTTATGACCTGACCTCTCAAAGGTGAAATGACTGAAGGCCTAGGAAAAACATAAAAGACTAGGTTAGTGGCACATGACTATTTCAAATGTAAATAATAAAAACAGACTCACCAGGATATCTAAAAAAAAAACTTGCTTATTTCAATTGAAGTAAACATGTTCAGTACAAAAATATACAATGCAAAATTACATTTACAGTAGAAAAGATACTGCTTCTGAAAACTCTAGTGGATTGTCTCAAGTCTACATGGTTTCAAGATATTTGATTATGAAAGTAAAACATGAATAAAAAAAAGGAACTGTTTTTTTCTTTTAAATGCCATAAAAAACAGCTCTAAATGATAATTAAGTTCTTGTGTGTGAATTGTAAGAAAAATATTTTTACTGTGTTCTAAGCAAATCACATTTTGCTTAGCCTTCCTGCAGCAGTGGTGCTTCCGTTGTTATCTGCCAGCTGTCAGCTGGACAGCTCCTTTTTGTTGAATTTGTTTCCGTCAATAGAGCAGCAGTCTTCCTCTTCCTCTTAATTAATTATTCATTTGATTTGGTGGGCAACTTACATTAAAATGGAAAACATTGCCTTACAGGGCACAGGTGCCATTTCATTCAAATTTTCTATGATTTTTGTTTTCTTGCTTCTCAAGTGACAACTCAGCCTTCACCCATCTAGATAGTGACATTAGAATATTTTCTATTTCAACAGAGCAGGGCAAACTACAGCAAACCCTCAGCTAATGATACTGTAGGTTAATGATAGAAATAATATAACAAGTATTTGACACGACGACAGTAGGACGTAGAACGGAATGACGTCACTAAAAGTCATCTGTGCTTGCGAGAACATTAAGTTCTCATTGCACGGATTCTAGGACGCAATTTGGCCAAATCTACGTATGCAGGGAACGTAAGATACCCAGTAGAACAGTCACGAATGGGTGTTTCCATTCTAGCATCGCGTCGTCAAACAAATCAAAAGCTCTCTATTACTATACCTGTGGAGTTAGTCTCAATGCTTCGTCTCGCACAAACCCGGAGTTTGAGTTGTACTTAATGTAGTCACCCTCAATGAAGTTCTCAATATGGTAAAGAGGGCTGCCTGGCCTGTTTTTGAACTCTAAGATCGACATCGCCATTATGTCAATCTAATAAGGATAAAAAAGTAAGGTATCAAAATAAATTACATGAAATGAAATGAAATATTATAACCTAGGGGCCCCTGTTTTGGCCACCATCCCTAAGCACCTGTTCACCTGTGGAAGAGCAAATGTGTAACCTGTTCCTTTGCTTGAGCCACCTAGGTAGGGGTTCGAAATTGCACTAGGGTGGTGGCGGACAGTGACCCCTCAGAGATAATGCATTTTTATCGTGCCTTTTTTTATTATTAAATTTTATTTATTTATATATTTATTTAGCATACACTCAGCGGTTACCACCAGTTTAGCCAATACAAAGATATAAATGATGTGTTTATACCGGTTTAGGGGGATGATGCCGATTGTATTCCTCTGCCCACAGTTTTGCATCCATCTGTAGTCTGACATCGTTAAAGTAGACATCACGCTCTACTGATGCCATGTAGCGTTTTGAAACGAAATTACCGCTGTGTTTCCAGTTCTTTGTTCTGCTCATATTTGATATCTTTTTCCTGTAAAACAATTGATATTTTAATTTCATTATAATAAGCATTCCAATACCACTTAAAAAATGTGCACTTAATGTACCAGTGCGACCATCGGTAGGCAGAAAAAAAAAACAGCACTGTACTACTGCAAAATGATGGCAGTAAATAAAATCTTGCTTTATGCTACGAGAATCATCTAGATGATACTTGTATGTATAATATTAATCTATTATATCATGTATATTATGACATCAGGAATTGATAACAAATGAAACAAAACGAACAAAATTATCTGTATTTTTAGTCGTGCATTGTAAACACAAAACAATGCAAGCTACAGTTTTGCTAAATTTGAAATAAAAATTTCCGAGAACCTGGTACCACTGAAGGACATCCACAGGCCTAGACATTTCACTTTACGTAGTTACAAGTGTTTATCCTTGCTGTGACTGGTGAACAACCTTCTTCTTATGTGTTGGCCTAGGCCTAGTTAAATATTTATTTTACTTTTTTATTTAATAAACATTGAAAATAGCTTTTTAAGACTTATGTTTTAATAAAAAAATTCATGTTTTTTCCATTTTAAAATATTGTGCTCGTTAGTAATTTAGATTTTATCTTTGATTTAATCCATGATGGTAACTACGTAGAGCGAAATACTAGGCCTCTCAAAGTCCCCCAGTGGTAGTTGCCAGGTTATCGGAAATTTTCATTTCAAATTTTGCGAAAATGGTCTAAAGTATAACAAAAATTTCCATACAGTACAGTATACTGTACGGCTACTGAAAATCAAATCAAATTATTGATCAAATTCATTTTTATTTTAAATTTTACACAATACAACAAATTCAAAAATATTCTACTGCAATGTACAACATTATTGTAACATACAGTAATAAAAAATTTATCAGCTGGGAAATAAGGATCAACCAAGGTCATACACCACTTTCTCAGGAAGTGGTTATGTGCAACCCTTGAAATTCTTTGGAACTTAACTTCCTGAACATACCTAGATAAAATAGGAAAAAATGTAGATTTGGGCAATCTAAAAAAAATCAGTTTCTCGTCCCAATATTTTAAAAAAAAAAAGTGAATGAGGGCACTGTTTTCTCTTATTGTTTTTTTACTCCGAGATGGCAAATCCAAGATGGTCGATGTGAAACCACTTTTTGGACATATGGTTGCTTTGGTCTCTAATTAGAATAATAAAGGAGACATTTGTTAATTTGGTGCCACAAAAAAGTTGTCCTTAAATGGAGGTGGTCCTTATTTGGAGGGGTCCTAAATGGAGACTTGTAACGTATCCCCAACTACGAACAACCGAGAAAGGAATTTTACTGATGTGAGTTAAAATAAAGGAAATAAAAAAAAAAACAATTTGGTGAGGCAGAGAAAATGGATGCCTGAGGCGACAAGGCACTAGTATTTTTTTTATATTTTTTTTATTTGGATTTATATAAAGATACTTTACAAAATCCTTTACAAGTAAAGATACATAGCACTATACAGGTACACCTGAAAATCAGATTTATAAATGTTTTTATTATAAAAGTCATTGTATAAAAGTAAATTCATATTATTATTCAATTATATAATATGTGAATGTTTTTTTCTTTTGATATATATGTTTTTGATGTGCTGATTATTTTTAAGTGAATATGCTCTAATATTTGTATGTATTTTATCTCTCCGTTTCAGAGGTTTTGAATTAAAATTGAAATAGTATTCACGATTAATACCCCAGATCAAGACATACCATTAAATAATTATAAGTAATATCATTGGGAATATCATGAATACCCTTTCCTCTAAATTACTTTGTGAGCACCTGTTAAATTGAGGAATTTGAATATTGAAAGAGAAAATATTTTACTTGAATATAAAAAATAAATGAAACATTACCCATTAATTTTCTCTTAGTAATTTGTTGTATGCAAAACATCCGATTTAACAGTGAAGAACTGAATTGCATTGATCTAGGTGTCTTTAATTAAAGTTGAAATTGATTATAATTATTACCAAAGGTTATTTTTAAAAAGTCAACAACAGATGGTAGTATACACACATTTTTAGACTACAGTATGTTTTAGTTGACAAATATGTGATTATTAGTAGTTTCTTTAAAAAAAAAAAGGAAACAGTACAGTATACTGTACGGCTACTGAAAATCTCAGATTTATAAAATTATTGATCAAATTCATTTTTATTTTAAATTTTACACAATACAACAAATTCAAAAATATGCTACTGCAATGTACAACATTACTGTAACATCAGTAATAAAAAATTTATCAGCTGGGAAATAAGGATCAACCAAGGTCATACACCACTTTCTCAGGAAGTGGTTATGTGCAACCCTTGAAATTCTTTGGAACTTAACTTCCTGAACATACCTAGATAAATAGGAAAAAATGTAGATTTGGGCAATCTAAAAAAAATCAGTTTCTCGTCCCAATATTAAAAAAAAAAAAAGAGAATATTTCTCTTTTTTTACTCCGAGATGGCAAATCCAAGATGGTCGATGTGAAACCACTTTTGGGACATATGGTTGCATTGGTCTCTAATTAGAATAATAAAGGAGACATTTGTTAATTTGGTGCCACAAAAAAGTTGTCCTTAATTGGAGGTGGTCCTTATTTGGAGGGGTTCTAAATGGAGACTTGTAACGTATCCCCAACTACGAACAACCGAGAAAGGAATTTTACTGATGTGAGTTAAAATAAAGGAAATAAAAAAAAAAAACAATTTGGTGAGGCAGAGAAAATGGATGCCTGAGGCGACAAGGCACTAGTATTTTTTTTATATTTTTTTTATTTGGATTTATATAAAGATACTTTACAAAATCCTTTACAAGTAAAGATACATAGCACTATACAGGTACACCTGAAAATCAGATTTATAAATGTTTTTATTATAAAAGTCATTGTATAAAAGTAAATTCATATTATTATTCAATTATATAATATGTGAATGTTTTTTTCTTTTGATATTATGTTATTGATGTGCTGATTATTTTTAAGTGAATATGCTCTAATATTTGTATGTATTTTATCTCTCCGTTTCAGAGGTTTTGAATTAAAATTGAAATAGTATTCACGATTAATACCCCAGATCAAGACATACCATTAAATAATTATAAGTAATATCATTGGGAATATCATGAATACCCTTTCCTCTAAATTACTTTGTGAGCACCTGTTAAATTGAGGAATTTGAATATTGAAAGAGAAAATATTTTACTTGAATATAAAAAATAAATGAAACATTACCCATTAATTTTCTCTTAGTAATTTGTTGTATGCAAAACATCCGATTTAACAGTGAAGAACTGAATTGCATTGATCTAGGTGTCTTTAATTAAAGTTGAAATTGATTATAATTATTACCAAAGGTTATTTTTAAAAAGTCAACAACAGATGGTAGTATACACACATTTTTAGACTACAGTATGTTTTAGTTGACAAATATGTGATTATTAGTAGTTTCTTTAAAAAAAAAAAGGAAATAGGTAATGACCTAGAATAATTACTTCTGTATCTCTAGGCTTCCTAAACCAGAAGTTGAATGGTTATTGTGAACCCTGGATGCCAGGTTTGCATATCCATTTTCCACTGAAAAAGGTCAAATAACTGTCTTGTTACGCTTCAGCGATTCATATCATATGGAACAAAGAAAAATGACCAAGATGGCTGAGGCTAACTCAGGTCAATGTGCAGTTGGCTAGACATGAGGTGTTGTACTGTACATTGGTCATAATGGCATCTGTTTAGCCTATGGCCATTCCTTTCAAAATATCATAATATATAACACAGCATAATGATATGTATAGAACACAAAACAACTGCAGCAGTAAATTATATTTCTTTTTGACAAGAAACATATATTTTAAACTGACCTTAGAATAGAAGTAAATTTATGTAGTGACAAATCTGGTGAGAGCTTCTTTTGTAGGCGAACATGAAATTTTCACTTCATAAATTTAAATTTTAAATTTACTTTTTTAATTAATTGACTAGGCCATATTGTTTGACCATTGTTAGTTGGGTTTTGCACTGTTTTATGTTTTATTATCTTTATTGAATATTGTATTGTGTTACTGTATCAATGTTACAATTAATTAATATTAACTTTTAATGGTGATAAAACAATTTCGAAAAATATAGTCTGTTACTGTTAGTGTTTTAGTTTTTGGCTTCCTACAGTAGTATGGTTTGGTTTTGTAATGGCATAACTCTGACATAAATAGGTTATAAATGTGCCATAAAATCATGTAATAGAAAATAAATTTTGATGCGATATTCATAAAATGCATCATAGATAAGACAAGGCTTTTTTTTATTCCTTGTTTCGCGTACTTACTTTTTTAAAGATTATCGGAGGAGGGTGGAATAAAAATAAAAATAACATTTTGTTTTCTTATTTTGCAAATAGTTTTGCCAAAATCATCTAGATGGAGGAGAAAATAAGAATAAAGTTTTATTGGTGAATGTAAAATAGGATTATATGTATTATATACAATCACCGAAAAGGGAGAGAAAACGAATTGGTTTTCTGGACTACCAAATGTTATAAGAACAGGCACAAAACCGAACTATTTGGAAAACTAGATGCCTGAGGACCTGCCAACTAGGGGCAGAGCAGGATAATACCTAACACCTAGTATTACAATTTTATATCACCAAGGCATCAGGAACATATAAAAAACAGGTCTACAGTATATAAATCACTGAGTACTGTATAATAGAAAGACTAATGTATGATCGATACATAGCAACAAATTATAACATTATCATAACTAATCACTAGCTATTAGCAATTTGCCGAAGAGATGAGCAGTATATAAAGTCTGAATCAACCATAATTCAATTTATCCTTTTTCAAAACAAACTCAAAGGTCGAAACGGTTTGTTGATATTATAATATTGTCCCTGTATCTCTGTTGTTGATATTTGCTTTGTATAGTTCTACCTCAATGTAATGTTATTATATTGTACTACACAATTTGCCTATAAATTGAATCTGTTTCCCTGTTTGGACTCTTTGCAGATATTATTCTCCAGATGACGATTCAAAACTTCCAGACATTCTCAACAAAAACAACAGTTCTTTTTGGAACGTGTGTATACCAAAATCCCCATTTATGATTTATAATATTTGTTAAAGAATGTGTGGTACAGACAGAAGAACAAGATATATCAAAATGTAATTAGATATGTGACTTGTATTACTAGAAGAGTAGTAGTACAACCCAACAGATGGCTGGATTCTCAGATTGAGTGTGTGTGTGTCACTTATCAGAATTTATTATCAGTTATCATCTCTGCATAATATTTGCAGGCAGCAAAATAATATTAATAATGAAGATAATTAATTCATGATAAAGCCTAATGCTTTAGGCATTCCTTTTCATTATGCTAAATCTTTTAAAAATTTCTGTATATTCTCATGAGACGAGGCTTAGAACAGCAAATTACCATCGAAAAACAGGGGGTTGTCTTATGCACAACATATTTTTGATTTTTAAATCATGTTTGTCATACAGATATGTGTGGATTGTCTATAACTTGCAAATTTACTACTGACATGAAGCTACTCCTGTTAGTGTGAATGCAATTAATGCAAGGAAATGAGATTTTGATGAACAATTAAAAGCCCATTATAATAAAAGGCTACTATTTGGAGGATTGGCGCTATTATTTGGATCTGTCTTTAGCCAGCTACAGTAGATAGATTATCAATACCATAAAAAGTAGGAATTCCGACGACGAAAGGGTTCTTAAATGTTGACATACAAAAGTCGTCCAAGAACATACTCAAACAAGGGCTTAAGGTGAGACTGAACAAACACTGGGCAAAGTATTGTGAATATGCCTGAGAAACTAATTGTATTCATCCATGGGGTTTTTAATAGAGACCTGTATCATTACTTTTTTGTGGGAGCAGGGGCAGGGAGGGGACGGACAGAATAATTTATACTTTTTCTTCTTGGTGTTGAATGCATTAAGATATCAGCCTGGATTTTACGCTGCCACCATGCCTCAGTTAAGCAGATCCATGGAGGAATAACCAAAGGTCAGGGGCGGATCCAGGGACGTCCAAAATGGGGGCGGGGCACGAAAGTGGGGCTGATCGAGATAATACTACACTAGGGGTCTGGGGGAATTCCCCTGTGAAATTTATGTGTTCTAGATGCCTGAAAATAGCCTCTACGCAGTTTTAGGTGATCAATCTTTTCTTTTTCTTCTTTCTTTTCCCCCTTTTTTTACCTTCCAAAAAGGGGGGGGGTTTGCCAGGGTCACCTTTCCCCCCACCCCTAAAACTTAAACATATTTGTATGTGCTGCTTTTCTGAACGATCATATAGTCAATTATATTTTACATGTATGGTGTGCATATCTTTAGCATTACCTGCCCTATTCTAATCGTCCAGCATTGGTCATTATAAACTGTAATTAATGTACAGTAGACTAGAATTTTCACAAAATCAATAAACATAGAATGACCAGTCCTGTAACTGATGGCTAATCAATACCACTTTAGTCAATAGCCTACAGTCTATACCTGCATTTTAATTGTTGTACAGTATAATTCTAAACCCCTTGAATAATAAAAACTCATAATGTGCATGTTCTGCCCTATCTAACATAATCAGATAATGACCATCCTGTAACTGAAGACAAACCAATATAAAATTTTGACCTCCTTCCCCTATTAATTTCCTGATGCAAAATATCTACGGATTTTATTTTTAATGGTGGATAAGCCTATTATATAAGTAAATCCTGTAGGTCGTAGAGTATATAGTTAGTATAATGATAGATTACACAATATTAAAATATTATATATTTAATTATATATGATATTTAATCATACTAGATCTCAACAACAGTGCTATACACTGGACATTTAATATCCAACAGGGTGTGTTGTCTTACAATATTGGTAAAAGGTCAGTATAACCATGGTAGGTAGTATAAAAATATATCCATGGTATAACCAACAGACTGGAGGTATCGCTTGGTGGTATTGATATTAGATAATAAAACATGTTTTTTTTCATTACAAAATTAAACAAGGAAGTACTAATTGTAGTGAAGGGTAAAGGACAAACCTACACTAATGAAAAATATGACTCTTGGTTGCCATGACCACTACAGTATGATGATGATTGATGATTCTTTGTGTTGATATGGCTTTGTATTTAAATTCTTAAATTTAAAATATTTTTTTGTATCTTAGACACTAACATTGCTTTGGATTTCATACAGAAAACCAGCAAAATCTGAATTATATTTACTAGAATAACTTTGGACAAACTGTATTAATTTGATTCTTTTTAAAGCACAATTCAGACAATTCAATTTAATTTTTGGATATAATTTTTGAACCTTATTCTACATTCAGAATACTGCTATCTATACAACCAGAATATAAACAAGCATTGTACTGCACCTGTGTTAATGTACTGTTTACTTGTAATGAACAAATAAACTGATCAGAGTCATACCCTTGACCTCGTTTCTAATGTGAATGGAAATTTTCAATGATACTTCAGTGCTCCAAGACCTACATTTTAATACCTACTGACAGTACAATAGTTACAGTAGTTCACATGAGGTGAAGTGCTTGTAGAAGTAGGGACATTAGTGTCATGAATAATTAGCTTTTCATGATACTGATGACTGTTAACATGCGGACAGCCAGACCTTTTTTTTTTAGTTAAGATTGTCCTGTGTGTCAATACAAGCATAATGCCTAAATACAAACATTTTTAAATTTTATCAAGTCTGCACATATCAAAATGGTGTCTATAGTTTAATATAAATTGGCTGGAAAATGGTGTATGGGAACGAGTAACCCTGTTGCTAGCATGGCAATGTGACAGTAATTTTTATTGCCTCTGCCAAGTGCGAGTTTTCTCGTCCACTTTTTTTATGGGTTGGAATGAGGACCAATAAAGAATTATTATTATTATTATTATCATCAACTCTAGAACGTTACCCAGTTTTGACGAGTACACTTGTTGACGTTGACTTGTAGCTGGCAGTGAACAAACCATGAAACCTATGACAACAGTATTTTTCATTCCTTTTGTAGTACTATACAAGGACGGTTAAGGCTACAAACTGTATGAATTACTTGAATTGTGGGCCTGGAAACTACAGTATTTACCAAGTGCTTGGGGGTATAAAACTATTTTTATGCCTCCATGTTTGAATGAATAAACTGTCTTTGAACAGTCAATACTTGGGTCAATAGGCCATACTGTACTGAGCAGGGTCAGGGCCGGTTAGGTTAAGTTGACCAGCCTGCACCCCATGGCCATGCAAGTAAACTGATCAAGGACACATCTTAATTCCCTTCCTTTGTTCTGACAAAAACAGTTAAATTAAATTCAACTGAAACTGTCAGTACCCAATGTAGTAGAGAAAAAACATTGAGTGTATACTATGCAATAAACAACTATAAATTTATCATATACTGTATATTTAGAATATCAATTCTTTATCAATTTCGATAATTTGAAATGGTAGAAAGCGCTATGTCACGGGACGGTTGGTGCACTGACCCTTGCGTGCACACCTTCTATGGTACTGTAAAAAGATATGTTTTTGATTTTTTTTTTTAATAAAATTTTTTTTTTTCGAAAAATTTTTTTTTAAATTTTTTTATTAATTAGTTAGTAGATATTGTTTGTATTATCCCTTAATGTTTTACTTTGAAATCAATGAACCAGCAAACATCCCAAGGGTGATATTTGTCTTCAGAAAAAAAAAAAAAATAGCCTCCCTCCCTTATCACTTTTCCAGCCTAGACAGGGTGATGAACTAATAATATTTTCATAGGGCCTAATAAGAACTTAATAATGTATGGAATAATTCGAAGGAAACCAACAACACACATTACACAATAAAAAAAAGATGAAATTATTTGAACTAAATAATGATGATGATATTTCAACAATTACAAACTGATACTGTACTTACATTCGGAAGCATTCCCTCATAGCTCCATTTGCAAAAGGCTAAAGTAACAACAACAATGTTGACATTAGGTGAATAATTGAGCAAATCAATAGTCAAAATATCAAAGAATTATACTAAGAAGTGTAATAAGTAGTAGGTAAACTTCACTTATTCAAGAAGCACAGATCAACAATACATCATAGCCATAAGAAAACATTACAATTACATTTATTTTATAACAATGAGAATTAAACAAGATAAACACATTAATTAATTAATTATGTTTAGTTTAAAAAATAGTGTATAATGCTTGCATTTTTATAAAATAAACATTTAAAGAAGGAAATGGTGCTTGTAAAGTTCAAAATCAGACAAAAAATAAACATTAGTACAATAAACTGATTTCAGTAAATTTATGGAGTAGTACTGTATCTGTGACTTTAATACTCAAAACTTAAAAAGCCATGAATAAAATTTACATCAAACATATGATGTACAGGGATAGAGTTATGGTGGGCAAGGTAAATGGGGAAACCCAGCCTAAGTTTTTCACCCAGTCTAAAGCTAATTGCATGGCTCTTCAGCCGCCTTGATAAACTACCCTGCCCATCCTTAAAATCCACTCATATTATTTAGAGTTTTACCAATGTTATCAAGGAAATCAAATTTCTATATTAATATTATTATTATTATTCTTCTTCTTATTCTTATTATTATTAATATTAATATTATTATTAATTATTATTATTATTATTATTAATATTAATATTAATATTAATATTAATATTATTATTAATTATTATATTATTAATATAAATATCCTTATTATTATTATCATTATTATCATTATTATTATTATTATTATTATTAATATTATTATTATTATCATTATTATTATTATTATTAATATTAATATCACTATTATTATTATTATTATTATTATTAATATTATTATTATTATTATTATTATCATTATTATTAATATTAATATTAATATCATTATTATTATTATTATTATTATTATTATTAATATTATTAATATCATTATTATTATTATTAATATTAATATCATTATTATTATTATTAATATTAATATTAATATTAATATTAATATTATTATGACCCACAAACCCTGAAAATGTCTACCACCCACCCTTATTTTTGTGCATCTACAACCCTGGCAGTATACAGTAAATCACAAGATGAAGAATGATTAAAAACAATTTTGTGTGCCTATGGTAGTAGAGGATTTTCTACATGAAGCTCATGAACAATTTTAGCTGCATGCTGTCTATATGAAAATCTGTATTGCTGAATACATCATACTAGCATGGCTATTCAAAGTACTTCAAATGAAAATAAATTGGGATAAAACATTCCATACTAAATAATGGATGCACAACAAGTTTATATTCTGCAGTATATGTTAGTTTCTGTTTGTATTTAATTTGTGCTCTACAAATACATTAATACCATTACCATTTGTAATACCTGTGGCTTCTTTTTATTTTTATGATTAAGGCACAATGCCAGAATATAGCATTAATTAACGGAACTTGATTTTGTCTATTTTAAATACAGTTAATCTAAATTATTTAAACTTAAAGACGAGCAAACGTTCTAATTAAACTTAAAGACTTACCACATCGGCCATCTTCACGTAAACCATGTCCACAACCCAAGTTTGATCTAAGGCGTTGTATCGAAACCGCTTAGCCTTCTCCTCCTTAAATGTCTCCAGATGGAAATCAGCCCATGGATCTTTTTGGCTCGTAGCTTTTCTGATTACCCGTTGCCAACGACGTCTAACTGCCATATTAACAGCGCGAGGTTTCACTTCGTTCTGAGAAACATGATTGACAACCTCGATATCCGTAAGAGGAATGATGTGGATATCGTCATCCTCCTCCGTATCCATAGCTATCGGGTTTTCATGGAAGTTCACCGACATTCTATTTGCACTGACTTACTGTTGTTGGGTTTCTCAGTGGTATCTTTTCTTGTTTTCTTTAAAGGTTTACAATCCTATAATGGCCTTGAATCCAAAGAGAAATAAGGTATGAATTATTATAATTTATTTATTAGTATTTACCGTATTTATTCGAATAAACGCCCTCTCCACTGCCTCATTTGGAATAGACGTCTCCCTCGAATAAACACCCCTCTAAATTATGACTATAAACAAAACAAAAAATGGAAGCAACATCATATTCAACACATTCTATTACTGTAATGTTCTACTCCAGTAGAATTTCCTGGTGTTGGATCAGTAAGTCGTTATATGATCACGCAATAACACATTTTGGTGTTAATTTATATGTGTTGTATTCCACATTTACAGTAAAATAAAGGGACGCTTATTTGAGTATACATATGTTATAATAGACCTATCCTCCTAGACGTCCAAGCAAAGCAAAAAATAAAGAAATAAATAGCTCCCCCGAATGAATAAACCATTAAATGCCCACTCAACTCAGATCCTTTCTCAGCAATAATAAACGCCCCAGAGAGAGTGTTTCATTTAACACTGAGGGCTGCAATGTACCTAGCTAGAGTGAGGACTGAAAGTCTGAATAAAAAAAAGTAGTAGGTCTAGCCTAGACAGGCTTCTCCTCAGGCCTGGCCTAGCCTAACTAGTAGTAGGCCAGACAGAGGCCCTAGCTAGCCTAGTTACCGTATACACTATACGGTAGATGACATGAAGCCTACGGTATGTAGCCTGTAATGTATAACAAATACTGAAAGAGTAGCTTACATTTTCAGCACAATTCAAATCTTTCGATATTTCTCTTTAGAAGGCAGTCCTTGCAAATACTTGAATGTAACGAGCTTGGTAATCAAAACAGATATGAAGTGACTCATCAACTACCGCATGTTTACGTGCAGAAAACAAGGGCAGTAATGTTTACCAGCATCTGCTGACCCGGCCGTGAACCAATCATGAATATGCAATTAGTGAAACCCGACCAATCAACGATTTGATTTTATAACCGTTGTACACTGGAGGCCACCAGGGACTCCTTTCCAGAAGTAAATTAAAAATTAAATAATAAAAAAATCAGTAAAACTCGGATCAACAGAAATTTAAACCAAAACCATACACAATCACTACAAAACAATGATTATAATTAATTACTGTTGATGACCCATAAAAACACAAGCTTCATGTTTGCGGTAGCGTGGCCGAGTGGTCTAAGGCGCTGGTTTTAGGCACCAGTCATTTCGATGGCGTGGGTTCGAATCCCACCGCTGCCAACCTCTTTTTTTTTAAAGTTTGATTAGTCTTGGCAAAACTTGCAGTAAGAATATGCACCATTTTTATTTTTTATGTACATCAAAAATTATTTCTATCCCCCCACAAATAAACCATCTGCCAATTAACTATGCTGGTGGCATTAGCAGTGCTCAGGGAAACCATACAGACCGGCCTCAAGAAGTTTAGAAAAGCGTACATGAGAAAAGGTGTTTTTCGTGTCTTAGAATTAATCAATCACTCATGAAAGAACTTAGTGCCAAGGCTAAGTCTTTTTCTTAAATTTCCATTTTCTTTAGTGGCGGCGGATGCGCTAATTGGCCAAATATTAATATTATTTTATTTTCATTCGAAATTATCATCGCTAAACAAGGTATAAAAAAGTCCTGTCCAATCCATCTCGTAAAGTATTCGGTGAAGGTGGTTTAATTTCAGAGTAAAAAAAATACTGCAATATTGGTTGTTTTGAACTTTTGTCTTTTGTGAGCTAAAAAAATTGATACAAATTTTACAATTAAAAAACTTAACTGAGAACATATATCCTTGTCAACAATCAATGTGCAGTTAAATAATACCTTTGCTGTATCAATTTCAAATGTAGTAAATCAGTAAACTGCAAAACTACATTGATCTATTTTCGGCTGTTAATTTATTTGATCTATTTAAATGAGCTATTCAAAATTGTTGATGTTTTTGGCAGACGGTGTATTACCTAAATTTGAAGCAAATTTCATGTACTTTCTTTTACAGTATATGACAATAAATGGCCCAATTTTTAATCTTGTTTTGATGAAAGAGGTAGTCGGCATATCATGTTTCAATTTGGTATATTTTTTATGGTACAGTATAAGATGATAGTAACAATAATGATAATAATAAAGAATAATAATAATAATAAAAATAATGTAATGATAATAAAATTAATGACAATGATAATAATGATAATGATAATGATGATTATATGAAAGATTAAGTTTAATCGTATAAAGAGTTAAGTCTTTAGGGCCTTTTAAAATCAATGTTTGGTGAATGTTGTTTTTCCAATGGAAGTGTTTTCCAGAGTGTCTTGCCGATTGAGGAAAAACTACCATGTTTTGAGTTTTGTTGCAGATTGTTGGTAGGTTAAATGATTTGATGAACGAAGTGTGTAAACAGGTAACTTGGAGCGATATTATATGATATATGAGGCACAAGCAGAGCCATGTATGCACATTATTAAAAATGAGTGGGAGATAAGTTCCTTTAGAATGAAGGGATTGTGATCTTTTACAAATCTGAGTGTGGTGTTTTTTGCAAATTGATTTTTAATGGAAGTCCTAACAGAAGGCCATGTACTACCTTTGTATGACCAGGTATGACCGAGCCTCAGGGGAAATGTACCCTTGAACATGTCTGACTTCCTCTAAGTGGTTGTGCATTGTGGTGGCAATATTCTGCTTAAATCAAATTGGCTAAAAACCATTCGCTCGGACTTGCCTATTAAAAAATTTGCTCATATTTCAGCCACAACCATGGCCGAAGTGGGTATGCACTTGCTGTTAGTGACCTTTGGACCCCTCATTGGAAAATAATGATGCTGCTGCACTCGACAGTCGTCAGCTGACACGATTCTAGGATTCTAGCTTGTAATGACGATCCCTTCAGACTGCCACCACCAATTAGCAGACTGTGCCGCGTCGTCTAGCGCTCACAGGAAACAGAGTTGGATTCATTGCGTGACGGTCGTACAATGCAGTGAGTGCTCCGCTTTACTCTTTCGGTTTCAAAGAAAGCATCACAAGGATATTTTTTTCATATCAGAATAAAAAGGAAAAAATAATAATTCAATACAATTTTAATTTTTTTTTATCAAAGTATTATTTTATATTAAGACTTTTCTTTAAGATAGTTAGTAAAAAGTTCAAAGATCATAAAAGATTCATTCCCACCTAATGTAAAAAATAATAATGAAGTATCTTATAACTTATTATGCGACCGAATAAATTTATAAATTAAAATAAAAGTACAATATTAACACTTAAATTAAAATAAAAGATTTCTGAATATTATATATATTTTTTTTTTAATTATTTATTTAGGCACACAATACATGTGCCAAGGATTGTCAATAGCGAATATATCACTGTCCTACTTGTAGGTGACAATCCCTTTCACAAGACAAACATACACACACAATGCTTTACACAAACTAAATCTCAATATGAGATATTTAAATTGTTTTGGTCGTGAGAAAAAAAAATTCTGCAACACTGACAAGAATTGAACCCAGGACCCTGAGATAGAAAGGCAAGCATATTAACCACCAAACTATTCAACTCCAATACATAAACACAACAAGTATAAATGTAATAATAACAATTTTCACTGAAAGAAATTGGTAAACAATATTTTAAAAATTAAACAATGAATAAAAATTTTAAAAATGTTACATTTTTATCTATTTAATATAGAATAGAATAATTTGTATTAATATAATGCCATTAAACATTCTTATCTGCCATTACATCAATTATCTTTGTACTGTATTTATATATTGACCCATAAAGTTATTGAATATATTTTTAAAAATTTAATGTTATAAATATATATATAAATAGACCCCCATACAAATTCTACATTCTATGTATTTCTTTTTTATTTAGATTTACATAAATAAAAAAAAAACTCACAGCAAATTTGACAGTGAAATCAGTGAAATCCATAAAATTTTGACCTAGCGCATGGACTGGATCAGCACCCATCAAAATTTTTACGCCACAACAAAGTAGTATTGTGACCTGAGGAAGAGTGGAGTATATAAGCATTCATGCTTCACAACGGCCCAAGAATACAAGTAAGATACAAGTAAGATGTAGTTCTGAGTAGGGAGGCACAGTGTGAATCATACGACTTAGAAATTATTCGACTTAGGCACAGTCGACTTAGGAAAGTTTAACTGTATTTAAAAACTGGGGGAAAAAGGGTGGTTAAGCCCCTTTTCCCCTAGTTTTTAAATATTCAAAAATTTGTACCTCATTAACCATTCACAAGTTTTTCGTCAAACAAATTTTTATCTGTCTTAGAAAAATCAGTTCTATAACATATCAAAAAAAAGTTTTCCTACGAAGCCTGATTTTAACGTGTACATAGGCCATATTGCACTATATGTGTAACAGACAATGAGCTAACCCAGGCATTTGGGAGATTTTGTAATCTTACAAAAAGGAATATGAATACGTCATTATCATTATCGTCATTCGTGCCTAAAAAATTCTTGACAATATGCGGTAGGAGCTGAATATGACGCTTGGTTCATGCGAAAGGCATGAATCGCCAACGTTATGACAGATAGGCTACTGTCTAAAAATTTAATGATGTAAACCGTATTCGTTATCATTTTCATAAGCTTGCGAAAACTCCCTTTTAACTATCTAGATGAACCGGTATAACTTTATGGCTTGCACGTAACGAGTATGGTTTCCACACCAGTACTTGTAAAACCGCGATAACGGTAGGAATGAAGCAGACAATGCAGAACATTGAATAACGAAGATCGCTGAGCTGGGTGCTTGTGGCACTGCCATCCTTCATTTCATTATAACCATGGTTATTTAGGATACTGACAATCAGCATTGGTGCGAAAGACTGGGCTGGTTTGGTAAAAAGAGCGTTGAAACCAAACACTGAAGATGATAAAGGACTTCTGAAAATACAATAATAGACTCAATTTCATTCCAAAGCATTGTAGTACCGTAAGAGCATAGTCTAATAAAATTTATTCAATACAACAATAAATAACTATAATTAAATGTTTAATGGAACAACATGTGGTGAAACAATGGGATTAGGTTTTAAAAGCAGCATTTGATTAATTTTAATACACTACAAATTAATTTTTTTTAAACCAATAACCAAAGGAAGAAATAATAATATTATAGAGCTCTTTAGGACCCACATCAGCAGAGTAGCTATTTGTTTTGAGTAATTAAGGGATAAAAATTTGTATAAATAGTCAGCTCCAAAATTTTCTCATAACTGTTATTCCTATTAGGTCTTTCTTCATTTTTGTATGGGCGGCTGTTAGGACCAACAAACTCTACTGCCTCTATTATACTGCCCTCATCAGACCTTTCAAGATTATGAGAGCTTGTTATTTTAAAATTAAGGATTAGGATTTAGCTTACTTGCGGTTGTATCGCTGTTGATCTTCGTCAATGATGTCTGACAATGGTAAATTTGCAAAATTAAACACAGCATTTGAAAAACCGCTGAAAAAAAAAACGAAAATATTAATTCCGTATTTATAAATAAACACCCCACTTTGAATAAACGCCTCCTTCTATAGCCTCAATTGGAAGGAATACCACCATCAAATAGGTACCTAAAGGTGTTCATTTGTTCCTCAAATGCCTCTGCCCACCCCGCCCCTAAATGAATGTAAACAAGTCTAATGGAAGCAACATCATTTTCAACACATTCCATTAATGATCTACTCAAAAGAACATGTGTTAGGTCTCCTTTTACTCTAGTAGAATTAAAATTTTTTCCAACCTGGTTGGGATAAATGTTTCTTTATGATTATGCAATAACACATTTTGTTGAATTATGTAGTTCCATATTTCCAGTGAAATTAAGGGGTATGCATTTTGTGTATACATCCATATACACCAAAAAATAAAAAATACCTCCCTTAATAAACACCCCCACCCCTAAATCTTCCCCTGCCTTTAGTGAAAAATAAAAAAAGGTATTACTTTAACAGTTGGTTATTAAAAGAATTACTGTGAATGCCACTGTGGTTGTGAATGAGGATCTTATGAATGAGTTTCCATTAGTGCCTTTTCACTGTCGGTCAAAAAAAAATCTTGTGATCCCCTAGCACCATACTACATACTGTATGTGGCAAAGGCAAGCCAAACGAGTCACTGGTTGCAAAAAAATCGACTTTTAGTTATTAGTACAAGGTGAGATATAAAATGGTAAAAAAATCATTTAAATCTGACATTTCGTTATGAAGTTACAGGAGTTTAATCATACAACTGTTTAAAGAACAATATTTGAGAAATCAGCCTTCAAAGTTTATGATTTAAGGCATTTCTCAGGCAAAAACCATCACTAAATAGTTAAAAATGTTTGTTTTTACATTGAAAAAGGGGGAAATAACAGCATAGCATGATATATAGAAAGGTTAGTTTAGTGCAATAAAATAGATTTTAAAAATTCTCTGAAACAGGCCAACTATTGCCCTCTAAATAAATTTTGCTATTTTAAGCTCTTCAATAAAAAAAAAAAATATGCAAAAACAGCCAATAGCATCACAGATTTCCAAGATGAGCCTTTTTGGTTGGTCAATATGGGCAACACAAAGATATCTGTATCATATTTAATGCAATTAATTAAATGTACAGTATTTTACATGTTTCTCACTACTTACCTATCGAAAAGCAAGAACAAGGCAATAAACCAAGTATGTTGAGGTCCGATAAGAAACATAATGGAAGACAAGATGAGCTTGGAGTAAAATGAGTACAGCATTACTCGGTAGTATCCTATTCTTGCCACTGTCGAACTCAATAGCAAAACCAAAATCTAACAAAAATATATAATAATTACTACATATTATACATTAAAAGATTTAATGGTTGATTGATAATGCAGTAGTAGAGACAGACCATGCACACAAATCACATATTCAAGTGGAGGCGCCAGAGATTGTTCCGAGAGCAGGTCCCCACCCACCTCAGCCCCCATCATGGTTAATAATAATAGTGTAGTTTTATATAGCTCACGTATTCATTTAATGCAAGATGCTTAAGGCGCTTGATATGTGCACTAGGTTGATGGTGGGTGCCTGGGGTTTCCAAAAAGTTTTTCTATCCAATTCAGGGCAACATTTGATACAAATGTTTTAAAATATTATTTTTTTTATCCCCCAACGAATCTCTCCTAATTTCAACGATATGGGGGAACAAAGCTGTATAGTCCCCTAATGTAGCTCCCCCATAGCACCGCATCTGCCAGTACTTAGGCAATAAATTTACAATAGTATGAGAAACCAAACCTGCACTATGAATATCTCACCTGTGGAAGTATTTGTGTGGACCCATATATAGATTTACGAGAGAAATTACTGAGATCTTCATCTGGTATAAGTTGGTCTCCGAGAATCGCAATGAAACTGACAAGGTACTGCAAGTGAAAAACCATAAGAAAATTGGTCGCGATAAAAGAAAGAAAATTCTTGTCACAACAGATCTGTTTAAAACACTGAAAGATGGATAACTTGGCGTTATCTGGTTCAAGCAACGACTCTGCCTGGTGTTTCTCGAACATGGCATCCTGATGCGTGTGCACATTCCTTGCTGAGAAAGTCATCGCTAACCAGCTGATCAATGCAATGACTACGCAACACATTTGAAAAGCACGAAAATTATGCATGCTATCAGAAAAAAATTCTGTAAAAAACACACTCGATGCTCCAAGGGTTTTAGCAATTTGGCTCCAGTTTGTCAAAAGGATTCGATCTTCATACTTTGTGGAAATCTCTGCAAATAATGCGCACTGGGCAAGGAGAACAAATGTAAAAAGCGCATCATAAAAAGACAACGTGACCATCAAGTGAACCCCACAAAGCCAGTCATTCTTTTCGTAATCACGCCATGGAAACCAGGGAAAAAGAAAAGAAATCACAAAAATTGGCGCACCATAGAGAATGGATAATTTACGCTGCCGGAAAACCGCAATATTAGAGCTGTCCTGTAAGTAGGCAAACAAAGGATCGTTGATGGCGTTCCACAGAAGATATATTACTTGAGAAATTTGAAACCATGATTCAGATATTCCATATTTATTGAGGAACAACTTTACGTAATAAAAACTAAATACACCTGTCATTAGACTTGCTCCAAATGTAGTGAGTGAATAGGCAAATGCATTGAGATGCAGTGTTCTTCTGGTACTTGGTGCCATATCAATATGCTGTTGGCTGTTGTTATTTAAAGTAGTGGCTTCTAGGTACAGTATAAAATAAAACAACAGAAACAGATTTTTATAAAAATTATTTAATATTTCTTAATATTTAATTTAATTCAATTTCATTACAAATGAAAATGCATCATTTGGATAATAATGAAAAGGCAAATATTAAAAATTACATACATTAAAAATGTAGTGAGTGGATAGATCAGAAACTGACTCCATTGTTCATAATTAACTCCATGACTGCACAGATAGTTTATCTGCCTAGCTCTACTTATTAGTAGAATAGTAAGTTGCTTGATTACACTTGTTATCTCTGATCTTTGTATACTACATTGTATCCGACTGCTAATTGGTTAATTGTAAGACTATTGCTAATTATGTATGCATAAGCTCTTTTTATTTGGTTTTCAATTTTTTACTTTACACCTGATGAAGCCGGCATTGACTGCCAGCGAAAGCTTGCGTTTAATAAATAACATCTAAGTTAGTCTCAGAGTGCTGCCTTTTAATTTTCATTGTAAAAAATGCATTGCACAAGATATAAAAACATTCAAATTCAGAATAAAAAATTACAACAATAACATTGCACAGATTCAAAAAAGGATTTAAAGAAAATAAATAGAGACAAAAAAAAGGGGGGGGGGGAAAGGATATTTATTTAGGAATGGCAGTATGTATGATTCTATGAATGATTGAGTTGCTAAACTTGGCAGCAACTAAGCCTCGCCTGCTATTTCCTACTGCACTAAACATAGACCTACTCCTACTTACTCTAGCTAGGCTAGGCCTATGATTTTTTGGTACTTCCACTAGGCTAGCATACACCAGGCCCAGGCCTAGCTATACTTCTCTAGTTAGAAAGAAGGCCCTACCTAGCCCCCTATCGATTACCTATATTATTATTAGCCTATGGTTAGGCCTCCTGCGGTAGCAGTACAGTGGCAGTAATGTAATGAAAGTTTTGTGTTTAAAAACACTTTATTGCTTAGCTACCTTGTTCTAGGCCAAGAACGCTCCATACACCCAAGACTATAATTATATACCGCAACCGGATAAGCCTGGCCTAGCCTCTACGCCTGCCGCCCTGCCCAGAGAGGGCGGTAGAATAACTAACGACGACGCTGTGTGTCACGTCTAGCCTAGAGACTAGGGAGGCCTAGTCTGCACCAAAAAGTTTCTTATTAAAAGATCTTTGATCTTTCAAAGTGTGCCAATGTTTGAAATAAAAAATGTATATTTTAAATAAATAAATAAATAAAATATGGCATAGGGTCTACAGTAACTATCTACGGCTCTGAAAACATTTTGTTACAAAAAGTATATTTTATTCTCAACGCGCGTTTTACTTATCGGAGCAGCTTTAAGCCTTCACTCCGAGTCGCCATCTTTAGCGCAATCAGGTTTTTTTGTAATTAATCGGCGGAAGTAGGTTGGTATTCAGCAACTGTAAAACCATATTTCGAAGTATCAGATTCTATTATATATCCGTACATTTTTGTTAGATAAAAACTGGTGTTTTTTCTGCATGCAAAGCTAAGAAGAAATACATAGGCTAGCCCTAGGCCTATATGATAGGCTGGGCCAGGGCCTAAGCCCTAAGCTAGGGCCTAGGCACGGCCTTTTTAGGCGGCACTCAGTACTGTAAGTAGGCCTGGCCTGGTACTGCTGCTGGGTCTCTGATCATGTCGGCCGCCCGGTTTGTTATGCTAATAAACAGCATTATGTATGGTGCACCAATAGGATCATAGACAGCTTACATTACTCACACTGATGACTGCAGCTAGCCTAAGTTTTATTTATTAGTGTATTATTAGTATTTTGTCCTTTGTTTGGCCTCATGATTATGTGGTGTTACTAGGTACCGACCCACTTGCAGCTAATATAGTAATCAATTATTAGTTATTAAGAATACCGTATTCAACAGTTTTATTTGAACTTGTATAACATTGTTTTCACATATAGCAGATTAAATTATGCATTATAAAAATGAAACCTGCTGTGTATTACTATTATTGATGAAATAGTCATATGCATAGGGGCCTAAATTATATTATAATATAACTGATTTATTACCACTTTATTAGTAGTAGGCCTGCATGACTTGTAACCAACGAATTACCGTAAAAAAATTGGGCTATTACTTTCGCAGTTTCAATCTTTCGTTGTGCATTTCGCTTGTGTCCTTGAACAAGGCACTTGTTAGATTGATTATATACATTGATTCAGTCTACCCAGCTGTATCAACGGGTGCCAGCAAATTGCTGTGAGTAACCTGCGCTGCACCAGCATCCCACCCAGAGAGAGTGTTACACTCTCATCCGCCTCACGCTACAGAAACTGGAGATAAGCTCCAGCCAATATGAGCCCTAGTGGCTCCACAAGGATTTACTTTTTTTTACCTTGATGTGGTCTTAAAAAGTTCTATATTAATTAACAAATAAATTTACTTTTTAGATATTTCAAAATGGCTGACGTAATTGAAGCCATAAAGAACTACAAAACTGCACCATTTGATGCAAGATTAGACAATTTATGTCAACCAATACATCTGTCTCTTATACACATCTAGATGTGTATAAGAGACAGGGATGAATGAGTTGTGAAATAAACATTGGCGAGGAATTATGAAGTGCTTTGAAAACAAATAATAAAGTCTTGTAAGTAATTCTCTGTGTTACAGGAAGCCAATGAAGGTGCCTTAACACAGGAGTGATATGATCCCTAATTGGGCTTAAAGTGACCAAACGGGCAGCTGCATTCTGAACTCGCTGAAGTTTTGAAATATCCTTACGAACACCTTTTACGTTCTTTTGAAGCACGCACTCTAGTTTGTGATAGTACTTTATTTCAGATAGGATTGAGTTCGGCCCCGTACTTTCTAGTCTTTTTTTTCTCATTAGAAGAAAAATGCACCTTCATACACATGTATTTATAGGCCTATAATATGTATATACAGTATTAGTGTAATATTGTATTATACACTGCTGCGTGCAGTGTTGAACATCCTACCAAAAATCGACTACAGTATATGGAAATATTAATGCTGTGACAGACATCAATAGGGAAAGGCGCCAGTGGCGTATCTAGGGGGTGAACGAGGAGGGGGAGCTGCTCATGCCACTCCATAAAAAAGCTTCCATACGCTGTCACTTGACACTTGAAATTTTCTAAGTAAAAAAATTATGCTGATTCAGAAATCACCTCGTACCACTTTATTATGCGAGAATCGAGCACTTCAACATCACAACCCCTTTACCCATTTCAATTCCTCAATACCTTCAGATATGTCACCAAAAGGTGCATGCGTTTTATTGGACATCCTTGGCGAACTAAGCAAGAACTTAGAGATACTGGTATGATGATCTCACCATGGACGCAAACGGATTGCTTGTCCCACAAGAACTTCCATTGATGCACTCATACTGACCCACCGGTACCAACTGCAATGCAGAATCGTAGTGGTGGCTGATTGGAAGAACGAGGCCAACGATCCCGAGCAAGCTTGACCTGATGATGTTTATACAACTATAATATCAATGAACTACTCGTAATGTCCAAATTTTAAACTGACCAATCAGAATGTGAAATTTAGTAGCCATTGATACGCGCTTTTTTTACGGAGAAAAAAAATGAATGTTTATACTGTTAAGTCCCCACACCTTAGCAACAATATCCAATGGTCGGACGTAGTTGAAAATCTGAGTTTACTAAGAGCGAAGATACTCGTCTTATTCATAACCCTGTTGTAAATACATCTGGACTGGCTGCTAGTACCTGAACTTCATATAATTTGTTCGTGTCTCAGCTATTCGCTTCGCAAATATATTTTATGTACTGTATTTCGAATAAATATATTACAATTCCTGGTCTGCAAGCATAAAATGAAATTAAACAACAAAATATGTTTGCCGTGAATTTTAATGGGTAACAAAATTGGGCATCACTCTTCATCATCCCATAAAACAGGGACATGAGAAGAAGAGCATACGTCAAAGTACAAAAACATATTTAAAGTAACATAGTGAAATATGATTAATGTTGGCATTACAACCCCAGTGGTAATAACTTTTAAGGATACTGTATTCTTTTAGGAATAAATCTGATAAGATTGAGCACCAGCTTAGTGTGGTGAATATGGCGCAGGATTAATAGTTTTCTCAGATTGAACCTAGATGAATATTTCTATCATTTCAACATCTACTACAAACATAAAAGTCAAACCACATTGTAAATGTTTACAAAATAGGCCTACATACAACAATTTGAATATTAAAACCCTATGTAGTGTGTAACCCTTGCGATTTAGGCCTGTATTTATAAACATTATAAATTACTTATTTCAATATTGGGTTTAAAAAGTTGTAATTTACTTTTTTAAATACAATATCACGTTTAAAATTACTATACTTAAATGCAACAATTTCTCATATACCTACGACGGTAGACAATCTGGCTTTATGTATACGAATAGACGTTTTCTCAAATAAACAAGAAACAGGTAAATTTCATGAATCCTTGATAATTGAACCAAAAGGACGCAAGTGTTGTTTTTAAGATGTTTCGGACATTCGGAGTTTTCCTTAAGTTCATATTCATTTATATCTAGGCATATAATAACAAATATAAGTAAGTAGTATATAGTATATTAATATACATGTACAAATGGCATAACACTTGATGGTGCTGTTGGGAACAATATTTTTTTTTTTTAAACAGATAAATGTATGTAAATGTAAATGTTCTAAAGCTCTGACACATGTTCAAATTTTATGCGACAAAAACAAGTGGCATGCCTAAATATTATCATGATTACATCACATCATGAAATAATAATAATAATAATAATAATAATAGTAATCGCTACACGCTATCGCCGACTCCTTTGGCGACGCTGATTGGTCTGTTGAATCAGGGAGCGATTGCGTCTAAGACTGTTACGCTGCAGTGCAAGGACTGCAGTGAAAACATAGCGACTGTGTTGCGATTGTATGAAACCAAGCTTAAGGCGCACGTTTCCATCTCAGAGAGCTGAGCTATTATTGACTTACGAAGTTGTATCATTTCTATCACTGTTCCGCATGAGTTATAGATAGTTAAATTAAAAATGGCAGATCCAAGAATTTGATACAGATGGGGCCAGGGAGGGACTTCCACAGACCGAGGATCCACCCAGCTCAGGCCCACCATGCTGAGGAATGAAAATCTATTATTATGGCACCAGATGGCCGGGAATTTCACTCTCGGATTTAAATTTGATTTTTTGATTATTTTCTTTGAAGTTTTGGCCGGCTCGCACCTCCCATGAATCCGCAGATTAATTGTATTCCACTGTGCTTTCCCGGTGCAATGTCACAACAACATATAATTACGTGTATGAATAATCTAGATATTATGTAGTGCCTAGAATAATTGTAATACCCGAGTACATCACACTTAAGTAAGGTTTCCATACAATCGCTACATGTTATCGCCGACAACTTTCGGTGATGCTGATTGGTCGGGAGCATCCAAATTCCCTCTGGGACTGCTACGCAGTACAGCGATTGCACTGGAAATATTTTAACGTCAGTGTAGCGATTTTAAGGAAACCAAGCTTTACTACTCAGTTGCGTGTTCAAGACCTAATCTAACAATATACAAACATCAAGAAAACGATACAGTAAATTCTTCTATCCTTTTTATACTGAGTAACCTGCTCAGTAAAAAAAATATATAACATTTTAATAATGTAATGAGTAGTAGCGTAACAACTTTGTTGTCAGCTTTTAATTTCACCAATTTCATAATAGCCCTAATGTGTATTTTTAAATATTTTATCTTATTGCATGTTTGGTGTAATATTTCTTGATCGGTTTGGTGATAATGTAATGTTTCTTATTGTTTATGCCAGATTTAAGGAACATTTCTGTTTATGTATTTTTATATGTGAATAGACCAATAAATAGTATACTATTTTATCTTATCTTATAATTTAAATGAATTATATTTGTAATTACTGAATGGGAGTGATTCTCTGACATATGTTATAGTAATTAAGTTTACTTAGAGACCAAACCCTCCCATTCAGCTGTATTGATTTCCAATAAAGATAAGAATGATAAGAATAATTTAATTTAATAATGAAGCTTATATAGAGTAGAGTTCTTTTTAGTCGTGAGAAAAAAGTGAACACAGGGCAGGTATCATAACCACCAAGCTATTCAACTCCACGCAAAGCTTATTCTGCTTGTCCTAACTAACATATATGTGTCGCTCCGAACGCTTTCTTTCGGATTTTTCACTCTCATATTTTTCATTCCTAATGAATTCATTCATTCTGTCGAGCATCATGATGAATTTCTGATTCATCGTGTCACAGACTTCCTGCATTGGATCGATACCTGTCAAAAGAATACATCATAATTCATTAACATTTTATTGACTTATTTGTTTATTCATTCATTTATTCCATAGGCGGTAACACTACTTGTGAAGTGGGGTGCGCCCGGTATACACTTTTAGAGTGGAGCGAAAAACCAAGGCTGGAGTGGGATTGTCTTTGGCCTACGTTCTCTGGGAGACTATTATTATAATTAGTTGATTGTTTGTACGTCATAATGTAAACCCTCATGCCTACTTAAGCAAGACTTTTTCAGAGGGCGGAAAAAAATTAAAAATAAAATTTAGGTTTTATTTTGCAAAAAATCATCCAATGGGAGGAGAAAATAAAAATAAAATTGTATTGTTGAATGTAAACAGTGTAATAGGATGGTTAAATGCTTTAAATATTAGGAAGAAATACATGTCTTCAGTGGCGGGCGTAATAAAAATAAAGAAAAACTTTATTTTGTTCTGAAATTTACATTACGTTGCATTGGCGGCGGGTGCGCTAATTGGCCAAAAAGAAAATTTATTTTTATTCTAAAGCATCATTATTGGCGGGCGGCAGGTTCGCTAAACAAGGTACCGTACTGTATGTAAAAAGTTTCGCCTTACAAACCAAAATCGGTAATATCAACGAGATCGATAAACAACAGCCAATGATCTTGTTTGTGGTGGGGCCTACAGGGAGGGTAGTTAGTATCACTACAATATTTTTGGGTGGCTTAGGCCTACCCTGTGCCGCCGCCAGTATTTATTCGTTCATGTACGTTTGTTAGTTCATCATTTAAACAAATATTAAATTATTCACTCATTCATTCATTTTAATAATAACAACAAAAATAACAATAACAATATTATGAATAAACTTCAGATAGCTCATTTTACAATACACATGTATTTATAGGCCTATATATACACAGTACTGCATATTTAAATGTTATCATGGTAGGACTCGCATAAGCATGTAGGCATATTCATTCATTCCATTTTTTTAATTATTATTAGGGCTGGAGCTTTCGATTTGTTCGACGACGCGACGCTAGAACGGAATCACTCATGCGTGACCGTCCTATCTGGCGTCCTACGTTCTCTGCATACGTAGGTTTGGCCAAATTGCGTTCTAGAATCTACTCTACGAGGTGACCTCAACGTTCTCGCATGCGCAGATGACTTTTATTGACGTCATTACGTTCTACGTCCTACCGTCGTCGTCCAATCGAAAGCTCCCTATTATATACTCGCTGGTTTGACGTCATACCTTCTACATACGTATGCTTTTTCTTCGGTTTTCTCACTCGCTTTTCTGAAAATCCGGTCCAGAGTTTGAATCTTTCAATCATAAAATCAACGATTTCCAACGAGTTCTGCATCTGTTCGTTTTCGGCTCTGGTCCTAGCAAAGGCCTCGTTTACAATGGTTAAGAAGACGTTCATCAGGATAAATACTATCATTAAGATGAAACTGAAGAAAAACAGCGGACCTAAGATTCTGTTGGTTTGTTTCATTGCTTCGAAGTCGAATTTTCCTTCGGAAAACATAACGTTTCATAAAACATAATTTTAATATACATTTATTATAATATGTAACACAGTAATAAGTATATAAATATATATATATATATATATATATATATATGTGTGTGTGTGTGTGTATGTATATAGGTCTATATAAATAAAGA